CCGACGTCTTACTTGCCGAGTCAGTTTATACCTGCCATCCATTCGCCCCTTTAACTCTCAGCACGATACAGAGCTCCTGTGTTTCGCATACCTCGCCCAATGCCGCTGCGACCCCGCGAACACCAAGACCTACTTCACGCACCTGTTCAACATCGTAAACACCATGATCAACAGCCACGAGACCCCGCCGCAGGAGCTGCAGTCACTCATCATGGACGAGCGCGCGCGCTTCCGGTACACGGCGGACGACCTGCGGGAACACATCTCCGTGCTCGGCTTTGGGCGCGACAGCGAGCTCGGCGTCGAGCTCGACGACGACGTGGACGACGAGTTCATTCTGCAGGCGTGGCGCAATGCACGCCGGCGTGCCTGGCGCGACACATCGAAGGGAGCGGAGCGGCGGAAGGACCTGGACGAAGCGCTACGCGCGGTCGCGGACGAGCGCGGGAGCAAGGTGCTCAGGAAAGCGTGGGAGGAGGAGCGCGGCTCCGGGATGACGCCCGACGCGGCGTATAGCACCTTGGAGGTCCCGAAGGATGTCGACGAATCGATGCTCATCACGGTGTATATGATGCGGGTTTGTCATGTTCTCTTCCACGATCGCCGATCCAGATCGTGTTGACACTTTAGCTCTGTGTTAGATCGAAGATACACCGAGCCAGGCGGACCGGATGAGAGAGGCGATGAACGTCATCGCTGAAGTGACGGACAGCGAGAGATTACGCCAATTTCTGAGTTCCGGTCGCGACCGTAGGTGCTTGTTGTGCTTTCCAGTGTCGGAGCTGATGACATGATGCCACGCAGCGGGTGATCTGTCTAATAGCACTGCGCCAGATATGCCTCGAGGCCTTAACCAGCTCGGAAACACATGTTACCTCAATTCACTCCTACAAGTATGTTTTCTGGGCTCCTACTCTTCCTGATCTACCTGCTTATTCAACCTGGGCAGTACTTCTATACCATCAAGGATCTCCGTGAAGCAGTAGCGCCTCTTGCGCATGCCGATACCAAATCCTTAGACGATAGCAAATTCACCGACGACGACCTCAAACGGCACCGTGTCGGGGGTAGGTTGGTCACCAGACGAGAGATTCTGCGGTCAAAAAAGTGTAGGCAACAATCTTGATCACTCATAAGCTAGCTGAAGCTGATAAAGTGACAACCTGCAGTTGTCAGCCAGCTGGCGGAGCTTTTCTTCAATCTGGAGTACTGCGAAGAACCAGCGGTGACGCCATCCCTGGACCTCGCGAAGCTCGCACTCGTGACATCGCAGGACGAGGAAGAGGATGACCAGCGCACGACCGGCACGGACTCGTCGAACGATACGGATGCGACGCTTGTCGAGGACGTCCCCATGCGCACGCCGCACGAGCGCTCGTCGCCGTCACCTATCGAGACGCCGGCGGACTCGGTCTTGGGCAAGCGCCACCGCGAGATGGGGTCGGGCATGGACGTTGATGAGCCATTGGAGCCACCGTCTGCGCCGACATCGCCGCCCCACGATGCAGTCCCTGCGAACCAGGTCGCGTCATCGTCGAAGCTCAAGGAACCCGAGGATGTGGAAATGCAGGATGCAACGCCGGCCAAGGCACCGCCGTTGCCGCCGCGGAAGCCGAGGCCAACTGATGACTCTGTGATGATGTTCGGTGAGCCGTCCGGGCGCGCCCCATCGATGGGAAGGATTGCTCATTCATGTTTTCCAGGGAGGCAGCACGACGTGTCGGAGTGCATGGACAATTGTATGTTCCAGATCGAGACTGCATTGCTTGATTTCCAGCAAGAAAAAGCAGCTATCGAGGACGACAAGACGAGTGTGGTCAAGAGGTATTCTAACCCTTTCTTTTGTGGTGTATCGCAGCAAAACCGAATAATGTTCACTGCTCCAGATTATTCTACGGCAAGAAGCGACAGCGTCTCACCCCGCTAACGGCCTCGGATGATACTCGACACAAGAGCTCCATTCATGAGAAGGAGGACCTGTTCTCACATCTTCATGTCAACGTATCGGAAGAGGGCTATGATCTATATGATAGCCTGGGCCGGTATTTCGATGACATCGTCGAACTTGATGGCCAGAAGAAGCGCATGGAAGTCTCCCTCGTCGACCTGCCCCCGCTGCTGCAAATCCAGCTCCAGGTGCGTGCCATATCCCGTTGTGTAGCATACACAGCGTTCCAATACCTTGCCCACAGCGCGTGCAATTCAACCGGGAGACGCAGCAGGCGTACAAGTCGCAGGCGTATGTCAAGTTTGGGGAGACGGTCTACATGGACCGGTTCCTGGAGAGCGCGGACCCGGAGAAGAAGGCGCGCGCGAAGGGCGTCCAGGCCGAGCTGAACGCAGCGCGGGACCGCGTCCAGCGGCTGACCGAGGGCAAGGTGCGTTCCGCGCGCTGCACTCCGTCGCGACCGACACTGACGCTGACGCAGCACGCGCCCTTTGCGCCCGCACTAGGGGGCGTCGCGGACTTTCTGAGCACATACGCCGTCGACGCGCCCGAGGCAGACGAATCCCTCGTCGCCGCGGTACGAGACGAGCGCGAGCGGGTGGCGGCGCAGCTGGAGCAGGAGCGCGGGCGGGCGGCGCAGCTAAAGGACGCGCTGGAGGATGTGTGGCGCGGGGACCGCGGGGCGGCGTACGAGCTGACATCGGTGTTTGTGCACCGCGGGTCGTCGCCGTCGTGGGGGCACTATTTCTTCTACTCGCGGCACCTGCCCGAGCGGCCGGACGTGTGGTTCAAGTACAACGACTCGAGCGTGACGGTCGTCTCGAAGGACGAGGTGCTCGCGGACACGACGGGCTCGACGGCGAACCCGTACATGGTGAGTCTGTTTCTGGATCGGTGTTGCGCGGTGTGTGGAAGGCTGACGTGGATGAAGCTTGTGTTTGCGCGCAAAGGGTGCGAGACGATCCAGACCGTCAAGCGGTTCGACCCGCAGGCGTTGCAGGAGATGCAGGAATGATAGAGCGCCGGCGGCGTGCTTGCTTTGTTTGATCTATGTTTTGGATATCACACGCATTGTATAACACCCACATGTACACATGAATATGTGCTTCCTTTCTTCTGCCGGCTGCTTCAAGCGCGGGCACGCAGGATGTTGAAGGGGCTTATGGCGCCGGGGCTCAGATCGTCTGAACTGGTTGAGAATGCATGGGTACGATTCGCTCTGTCAGGTATCGTAAAAGCCGGAAGCATGAGCGCAAGAGTTGAGCAGAATTCAGGAGTTGTCGTCCTTTGTGCCTCTGCCGGACGTCGACGGCCGGGGTTAGCATCCCTACAGGCACGTGAGCTCTCGCTCGCAGGATGCTTGAGCTGCACCTAGTTTGAGTCGCTGCTGGAGGCGGATCTTTCGCCCGGACCAGTAAAAAGTAGTCCCAATATACGTTTTTGCGTTGTAAATTACAGATAGTTTATTCCCTCTAGTCGCATCTCATCAATGCGAAACACAAGACGCCGCAAGCCCTGCGAGACTATAGCTCTAAATCTACGACTTGAAGACCTTGAAGCGCTCTTCGACGGGCTTGAAGGACTTTTCGCCAGCGGGCGCGATAGGCTTGCCAAAGGGCATCTGCGCGATGAGCTGCCACGAGGAGGGCAGGTTCCACTCGGAGAGGACGCGCGCGGTGATCAGCGGGTTGTAGTGCTGTCATGTGTGATCAGCAAGTCGCACCGAGCGAACACAGTGAGGGAAAGTGAGACTCACCTGGAGCGTCGCGCCCAGGCCCTCCTTCTCAAGTGCGGTCCAGACGACAAACTGGATGATCGCCTGCAAACAAGCACGCATGCACGCGTCAGCACCGCTCTGCGCCCTCGGTCAACCGCGGCGGCAGCGGGAGGGGGACTCACGTTGCTGTGCTCAGACCAGGTGGGGAAGCGGTCCTTGTAGAGGGTGAACTTGTTCGCAAGCTCCTGGACGTCGTTCTCGTCCTCGAAGAAGAGGACGGAGCCGTAGCCGTTGCGGAAGCCCTGGACCTTCTGCTGCGTCGCGGGGAACTGTTCCGCGGGCACGACCGGCTTGAGCACGTCCTCGGTGATGTCCCAGAGCTTCTTGTGGTCGTTTCCGAGGAGGAGGACGACCTGCGCGCGGCGCGTCGTTAGTTCGTGTTACCAGGGTTTGCAGGAGATGGGGAAAGGGGGGACGCACGCGGCCGGACTGGACGTTGAAGGAGGAGGGGGCGTGCTTGACGGCAAAGGCGACGATCTCCTGGATCTTCTCGTCGGAGATGGGGGACTCGGGGGAGATGGCGTAGACGGAGCGGCGGCTCTCGACGGCCTCGAGGAATGCGGCGGAGCTCATGGTTCTGCGCGAGTGAGCGGGGGCGAAGCTGGGTCGGAGAGGGGTGCGCGGGCTGCGAGAGAAAAGGAGGGAAGTGCGGGAGGCGGTGAGCCTCGCGGGGGCTTTTAAGAGAGCCGGGAGCGTCGAGACAGGTCGCATGTTTGATCTTGCGCGGGGATGGCGTTATCGAAAGGACAGTGAGAGGGGCAGCCTGCTTGGGATACGTAGAGGGCGGGTAATCGTACTTTGACCGGGAACGCTCTCGAAATGGGCGGATGTTCACTCGGCGCAATCGATGGACGCGCTGTGCGTCGCGGCGGGAGCGCTGAGGTTACTCATCGCCTGGTCCATGATGTCCTGCGTTTTATGCGCCGGGCGCGTCGCGGCGATCCAAGTGGGACGCATTTTGCGGAAAATAGCAAGGAAAAGAGGTCAGCAATATCCGTCGAGGCGGGTCCTGCACGAATGTGGCGATGTGGCGGCCGCACCGACCTGCGAGCTTACATCTGCTTACATGGCGCGTCGTGCTGACGTCCTCCCTTTGACTCAGCGTGCGTGACCTCTTTGGTGATGTCTTTTGACAGAGGGGTATCGAAAACAGATGAGATGATACATAGCGTCTATGGCAGCATTCCACCGAGGACCGAGTACTTTGGGGCTTTGGCGCAAAGTCTCTGGTAGGAAACGAGATTCAGCAAAAGCAAGCATTAGACAAAAAATAAGCTCCCCAGCCGGGAGTCGAACCCGGCTCTTGCGCGTGACAGGCGCATGTACTATCCGATATACTACCAGGGATTAGTATATGGGGCCATGCTGCACATCATACCCACGGGGCAATCCCTGTTCCCATCGGGCAGCGGCTTTCCAGCTTCCGCAAACATCTCCGTTCCACGTTGCTGTCTTTGACTGAGCCTCGATAGAAAGCTTGCGAATGACCTCTTGAGCCATGTCTTTCCACAGCAATAAGCCATGTCTTTCCACAGCAATATGAAAGGTGAATGAGACGATGCATGTCGTATATGGCGACATCCACCGGGGATTGTCCGCGAGGTTTCTGTAGAAAACGAAGACAAAAAGAAGCTCCCCAGCCGGGAGTCGAACCCGGCTCTTGCGCGTGACAGGCGCATGTACTATCCGATATACTACCAGGGATTGATGAACATGGCCATGCTGCATACCATTGCCACGGGGCGGTCTCCCGTCCCCATCTGGCAGCAACTTTCTAGCTTCCGTAAACATCTCGGTCCTCTATTCCTGTCACCGCGGACATAGATCCATGTCATCGGTTGGAACATTCACAGAACATGCTCAGGGTTGAGCCAATGTACCTCGATGATCGTGAAATTATAATACCATTGTGCGGGCATCTTCGGCACCTGCAGCATGCCCTGAAGTCGAAATGTTTTGGATGTTCTGTTCGGAGTATATTATAATCGACGTGCTCTCAGTTGAAAATATCTCGAAGTACCCTCAATTGTTCGTAAAATGCCCCCTGACTGCGATCAGCGAGTACATTGGCTCAAATCCAAGCATGTTCTTAGAGTTGTTCAGATCATAACATGGATCTTGGCCCGCGGTGTATCTTTTACTGAGCCTCAAAAGTAAGCTTGTTCGTAACCTCTTGAGTCATGTCTTTTGACAGAGTGTTATCAAAGGTGGATGAGAGGATACATGTCGTATATGGCGACATCCACCAGGGATTGGATGGTTTGATGCTTTCGCGAAGAGTCTGGTAGAAAACGAGATTCGGCAAAAGCGAGCATTAGACAAAAAAGAAGCTCCCCAGCCGGGAGTCGAACCCGGCTCTTGCGCGTGACAGGCGCATGTACTATCCGATATACTACCAGGGATTGATAAATGTGGCCATACTGCACACCGTGTCCGTGGGCGGTCCCCTGTCCACATCTTGCAGCGACTTTCCTCCATCCTCGAACATCTCCGTGCCTGTCTTTTACTGAGCCTCGAAACATCCGTCCCCGCTGAGCTCCTCCAAGCTGGCGTCCCCGCCCCCATCTCCGTCCCCGCCGCCCGACTACTATGCCCTCCTCTCCATCCCGCCCTCCGCCTCCCCCGCCGACATAAAACGCGCCTACCACCGCCTGCTCCTCCGCTCCCACCCCGACAAGCAGCCCCGGCAATCTCCCTCCCTCTCCCCCCTCTCCCAACCCCTCGCCCGCGTCCGACATAGACCTCGTCAAACAGGCTTACACGACCCTCTCCTCGCCCGCCGCCCGCGCCGCGTACGACGCCCTCCTCCGCTCCTCCGCGCACGCGCACGCGCGCGGGCCCCGCCCGGCCGCCGTCATCTCCCTCGAGGACTTCACGTGCTCCCCAGCCCCCGACGGCCCGAACAGCGACGGTCCGGGCCCTGCCCAGGTCCGCCCCGATGCGCCCCCGGCGGCCGAGTGCGCGTGGCGCCACCCCTGCCGGTGCGGCGGCGCGTACGTGATCACGGAGCGCGAGATGGACGCGGGGCAGCACCTCGTCGCGTGCGACAGCTGCTCCGAGGTCGTCTGGGTCGGGTACGAGCTCGCAGACGAGGATGCGGATGCAGACGCAGAGGGCGGGGGCTCATAGTCTTCACTGAAGATCGAGCTCAGGGCTAATCTTGCGGCGCACCTCGCGCGTGCAGCCGTTTCACCTCTTCGGCCTACGCAGACTTACCACTCATTGCCAATCGCTCGCCGGCACCGCACTCCACTCACAACGTAGCGTACATCCGCACGCCCACCGTATACAAGGCGCGCGCGATACATTCGATTCCGGCATCTCATGGCAGACGGAAAGATAAAAGAAGATCAAAGAAAGACTACCATACGGGTCCGGTCCAGTCCAGGTGTAAACGGCGAACGGCAAACGGCAAACGACATAGCACAAAGCGAGATGCAGAAGCTAGATGGCCACTATCTTACGATACACTACTGACGCGCGGCGCGGACAGTCGGGCGGGGGACAAACAGGAACAGGCAGAGGAACGCGGTGTTGATGAAAAGCGGGTGCGGCAGGCCGGATCGGGTCAAGAGATGCTGTGCGTGTGTGCAGCGTAAACGTGGGGTAACCAGCGGAGGGACGGGAGGTGAGAAGGGCAGAAGCGGGAGGTGTCAGGGTGCGATTAGGGCCCGCGCCGGCGGTGTCTATGTATACATTGGGCTTGTGCATTCGTGACGACGACGCGTGAGACCATAGTCAAGGAGAGCGAAAGGAAGAGGAGGGCGGGTCGATCGACGATCATTCGGCGGCTTGTGCGGGCGCGGGCACAGGTTCTTCGGGTGCTGCGAGCGCGCCCTCGGGGATCCCATTGTTCAGCCGCGAGTCGCCGACCTGGTGGAAGTCTGCAATCGTACGCAAGTCGCCGGTCAGTAACGTCGGAGCCGGTACACCGACAAAGGAGGGACGCACCGAGAATCTCGCTGTACATCATGACCTTCCAGGTGTCTACATGCAGGTCTGCATCATTGAAGCTCCAGTCGAACTTTTCTGCCGCCTCGGGCTCATCCGTCGGGTCATGGTACGGCGAAACATATTCGTGCGCGAGCGACTCGGTCGCCGTGATTCGTTTCCGCGGGTCAAACACGAGCATCTTCTCCAGCAGGTCGATCGCTGCGCACCCAGAGGTCAGCAAAGGACGATAAGCGCAGGGTTCAGACATGAACGCACCGACGGGGTCGTTGGTGTGCAGTTTCTCGCTGAACGGCACGCGTTCGCGCTTTGGTAGGCTTTGTACGAACCGGAGGGTCTGCAAGGTAAGCATATCATCTTAGCGTCTCCCACAGGCAGCAGCGCAGCGCAAGACACCCACGTTCTCGCTCGCAATTGTCTGGATGACGTCCTCTGGCGGGGTCCCGAGCAGCTCCGTGATGATCGAGAACTGATGTACGTCTGCAGCACCGCCAAAACCCCTTTAAGCGTCGGATTCCAAAACCCCACGCGGTACGGAACGTGGCACTCACGGTCCTTGCCAGGGAAAAGTGGCTTGCCCTCGAGCATCTCCGCAAAGATGCAGCCTGCGCTCCAGATGTCCACTGCGACGTCGTACTTTTGCCACGTGAGCATGATCTCGGGCGCCCGGTAGTACCGCGTCGAGACGTAGCCCGTCATCTGCGGATCTTGAATCCGCGCCAGCCCAAAGTCACAAATCTGTCCGCGCGGGGAGATGTCAGCCCAGGCACAACGTGAGACCGCCGCGACACGTGACGCGCCTTCAGGTCGCAGTTCTCGTTGATCAGGATGTTGCTCGGTTTCTGCGCGGCGCGGAGGTGAGTGTGAGATGCGGCGTGCCACGCGGACGGGGACTCACGAGGTCGCGGTGCACCACGCCGGCCGAGTGCACGTATTTCAAACCGCGCTGTGGAGACGAGAGAAGGTCAGCTTGCTGTCACGCAAGCGCGCGCAGCTACGAGCGTGCGCATCCGGCAGCTGGCGTGTCCTTGGTGCGGAGCTAGGGCGCATCGGATCGCGGGCGACTCGGGGACGCGGGCTGAGCAGCGCGTAGAGCGCCATGAATGCAGCACGGAGCAGCATTGCAGCTGTCGAGCACCGCGCGATCGCAGTCTTGGGCCGCACGTTAGCCCGTGCGAGCGCCCGAACGCGGGCAGCTGCCAAGGCGACACGAGCTGCGAAGAGGATAGGTACGCACAAGAATCTGGTAGAGGAAATATTGGATGAACTGCTTCTCGAGCGGACGCGAGGTGAGGAGGCGGTGCAGGTCCGTTCCAAGGAGCTCAGTCACAAAGTATCTGTACACGGGCGTCAGACTGATTTCCGGGCGGCTAGAGCGCGCGACAGGGAGCACGCACATATCCTCGAGCGGCGAAATGAAGACGTCGCTGAGGCTGATGATCTGCGGTGCGAGTCAGCCATGTCCCGCAAGTAAAAAGAGGACATGGGGGGACGGACGTTCTCGTGTTGGATGTGCTTGAGGAGCTTGAGCTCGCGGTAGGTGCGCTTGGCGAGGACGGGGGTGCTGAATGGCTTCATGATCTTTTTGATCGCGACGGAGGAGCCTGTGAGCTGATCCTTGGCAGAGCTAGAGTGCGCCGCGTCAGCGATCCAGCGAGTGGCGGAGGGTCGGACGCGAGGGGAGCAGTGCGCACCATACTAGCCCAAAGGCGCCTATGTGCAAACGAGCGGGTCAGCGAACGGCAACAGCGGCGACGAGAGCAGAGTCGAGGATGGCGGTGAAGGGATACGCACCCATTCCGACTGGTTGAAGGTCGACATAGCGCGTCGTGACCTGCGTATACGGCGTGGTAGGCCCATCAGCGCCGTCCGGGGCGACATCGCGAGCGTGTACACACCTCGAAGGACGTCCCGAATATACTGAGCTTCACGAACGACATGATGTGCGGCAAGAGCGACGGTGAGGAGGATGTGCGCCGCGGTGAGCGCAGGGGATGGAAAGGGGAGAGAAAGAGCAGACGGCTTGGGAGGCGGATGGAGCGGGTAAACGCTCTGCTATCGTCTGCGGGCGTCTCGATGGTGGCGAACTTGCCAATCTAGGCAAGCTACCTCATATCTTATGTAAGCGTGCCCCTAACCCCCGCGCTCTACTCGATCGCGGTTCGGTGCTCCTCCAGCCTAACTCCGCGCCCACCGACACCACCAGCCAGCTGGCTGCATTCCACACATCGCCTTCGACTATGTCTGTGCTCGCCGCGCGCTGCCACCGACGGTGTGCGGGCAGCTCGGACGGGACGATGGCTTGTGTGCCTACCTATGACGTAGCGGGCCATGATTGCATCGGGCATCTAGCCAGACCGCGTCGCCAGGCGTCTCCGTCCCAGCCAATCCCCGCC